CCCCTAGATGTAAGCGCCTTCGGCGCTAACGCAAAAATTTATTCTCGTGCGTACATCTTCAAAATCCCATGCTACGCCCCTGGTAGTGTACTACAATATATCGTTAGAGTTATGATGGTATGTTTAATACTAACGCACAATGTTATCAGAATATATCACAAGTCTTGCTGACGTCAGCTTCCATATTGCGGCCTACATGTACGCGCGGTTTCGGTATTCGGGAAAAAATACAATGCGGTTTGCGGTTTTTTGGTGTATTTATGTGCGGTTTTGCGGTTTTCGGACCCCCCTTACGCCCCCCTCTTCCAGGTTCCTAACTTTCTCGTGAACAATGCATAATCCCAAATTGCATGCTGTGTCTACAAACTGGAATGTTGTGAACAAACGATCCACCATTAGCCTGCCTGACAGACCCCAGTAAGGTTTTTTTGTTAGTGTTTATCAGTTTATAGAGCACGCATGTCCTCAAAATTTCCCCCTTTTGCCCTAGAAAAAACCTGGGATGCTATGCAGACTAGTTCATGATTGATCCATAGGCAACCTCGTTACAAGGTTCTCTCTCGCCCCATAGGGATGGATAGGAGAGAAGCCTGGGAATGAGGTTGGATCCATAGCCTGGCTACCCACCAGTGTGATATCCTACAAATATCACTGTTTAAAACTGCCTGCTACTGGTCAGTGAAGCTTTATTTAAAGAGCTGTTAACACCTGTAGAACTAAGAAGACAACATAAAGCCTGCTCCTCAGTAAGAGCGTTTAAACACTTTTAAATAACCAAACAGATACTTTCTTAGCAGTAATTTATTGCAATATTTTTCATTTTATTTTAGTTGATCATGTAAATGGTGACTGAAGAGCCCCAAGGGGAATTATTTGTAAAGTATCTTGTCAACAGCTTTAGAACGGTGCTTTAAACTACAAGTCTTGAGTGGGTATACACCAGTGGTGAAGGACAGTGTGGTCTCGAGTAGAAGCCTGGGACAAAAGAAGATCACAGGGGGATGGGAGGCAGCAGACGAAAGAGGGGGGGGGGAGTTCTAAAAGAGTAGGAAGCGGGAGAAATAGGGGGAAATCGTGCAACAATCCGTAAAACTTTGTAACTGAAAAAGGGCTAAAGGGAGTAAGCCAAGAAAAATGGTGTGGCAATGTGGGAATGCAAGGTACAAGAGTTGGAAGGTTTAACCGTAACCAGCGTGCAAAGAAAGTAGTGTCCATTAGCCCAGGGCTAGTGGATTTTGCTATCGGGCTAGTGAATTTTGAACTTTACTTGCCCGACGGGCAAGTGAAGTTTTTTGAGGAATTCAAATTAAAGAAGAACTGTGAAATCAATTCTGCTCATCAAAATGTTTTTGGGGCTAGTTGAAATGACGTTTCGGCTAGTATATGCTAGCTTCAGCTTGCCCAAATGGCAAGCTTTAAAAATCACTTTCTTTGCACCCTGCCCTAACCCTAACCCTGACCCCCCCCCCCCCCCCCCCCCCCCCCCCCCCCCCCCCCCCCCCCCCCCCCNGAATGTTCCTTACTCTTTCCACTTCAGTTCCTTGTAGTGTCTCCAAAGCTTCATGAAAAATGTCAGTTTCCACAGAAAGGGACTTTCTTTCTGCAATTTCCTTAGATGGTGACATTTTGACTGCAAAACTTAATCTTGCTCCTGAAGAATATAATAGAAAACAGCAGCAATGTGAGAAGTTTACGTATAACATTTCAACTTTGAAGTAGCACTTTACATAAATATTTTGAAAACCATTTAGTCTCAGCAACAAAGCACTAAAATGTTAGTTATAGTAAGTTCAGCTCAGCATCCCTCACATCAAAAAAACAGAAGTGTTATGAGAAATTCAAATATAATTAAGGATTTAAATGACTTAGCGTTGAACAGAGAAATGGTCCTTTCATATCTACAGTAGTCACAATTACATGAAAATAAGAAGAAATTTTATCCATGATATGATAATGCTATTGTGCCATTTTTGCACTTTCTAGAAAATCATTTGGTTAAGGTATTTCCCTAGTTTTGCACTGCGCATCGCCCACTGTGCATGATACTGCAACATCAAAGGTGGAGGCAATTTTCACCAGCTGCCTAATTTGCCAGGTAACAAAGGCTGCTTTTGTAGTCCAAAAGTTTTAGTGTTTGTTAACTCGATCCTCTGGGTTAAAACGGTGATGTTCTTGAAACTCTTTACAGGCCCATTGTGTAAAATGATCATTTGAAGCCAAAATTTCCCCGGCTTTCTTGTCATCTTCCAATGAAACAAGCATGGTGACTCCCCTTTTTATTAGTGTTATTTATTCGTAATAGGTAAATGAAAAACATCTTTTAAGGAGAAAAAAATTTGGATGGTAGAAGTTGCATTGTTTATTAGAAATGACACCAAAATGCTGCATTTAGAGCAATAGGAGAGAACGAGTTGATCTTGCTGTTCAGTTTTCTTACACTGTTTGCAAGAATTCAGACAGTTTTATATAAAATCACATTGCTGAAAGATTATAGCTCAGACAAATAAAAGGTTCTCAGTTTCCCAAATATTTATGGGTTTGCTGCATGATAACAATTTTTAAGGGCTTATTTTTAGGGTTGTCCAAGTTCAAACAGTTTGCACGCAAGTCAGTTAAAAGTAAATCCCAGTAAATCCCTTTACAGAGAATTACCTTAAGTAACAGAGGGAAAAATAACAGGAACTAAAGTCAGTAATATTGACAACTCAGATTCAGGGTAGGGTTTATTTTTTGCTTTGTTTTACGTCACTTTCCCTCTATCCAAAACAGAAAACAAAATAATAAAAAACTAATGGGGCCTAGCCCTGATCCAGGACACAGCTATTTCAAGAAAGGTTTACGTAAAAAGTGGGTGCGACAATTGACATTGAGAGTTGAGACTACATTGCTTAACAATAATGATACCCCATTCTGTCCCTAACCACTAGTAAATTTATTTCACCAGCAGAAGCTGTCACTTCTTATTTGAAAGCATACCTGCAAATGTCACTGGTGGTGGCCGAGCGCTATGAGGAATTGTCCCGTGAAAAACAGCAACACGCCCATATTTTGGTCTAACTGCAAATATAACTTCACTCTCCTCATCATTAAAGAATACTGTTTCACCATGATGGTTTTCAGTCCAATTTTGATTGAGATAAATCAGCAGAGTAAACTCATTCTCATGAGATGCACAGTCTGTGTGAATTGTTGTGGTGTCCATATTCTGTATATTATTGCAACCAATGTCATAAGGGTAGTAGCCTTCTTTACCCGAAACAGCTCTTATAATTTGACTGGCTAGTTGCCATAAAGAGGTTTGTACAAACTCCTCAACTTCAAATGCCATTATCCACTGCACATTATCTGTACTATCCACACCAGCAGCATTGTCATTGTATCCACTATTAACGATTGTATACCTCAGAGCATCAAGCTCTTTTGCAGGAACAACATCATCAAACACAACGACGTGTCGACCGTCACTGGTGGTAAAATTTCTAGTAATAAACTCTTTAATAACTTCCTTTTCCACATTAAGAGCATCAGCTTTAGTCAGATGTTTAAAACTGGGAATGTATTGACTAAAACCAAGGGCCTTTTCCCCAGCTGTGGTGCCAATTTTCTGTGTTTTACCAGACACTGATATGTGGAATTTCATTACGTACAAGCGTCCTGAGAGGTCATTCGACGGTGGCTTGAGAACATGTTCGAGAGTGGAAGGAAAGACTACAAGCCTACCTTGTTTGGGATACACAGCTTTCAGTATTTCTCCTTTATGATTGTAAATAACCAATTCACCATAACTATTGCGTTTCCAATCTACAAGAAAAATAACAGCCACAAAGCTTTCAAAATCTTGTTCATTCACAATCGACTTCTCACCACACAGATGGGTTCCTCTGACGTTAATTTTTCCTTCAAATCCCAGTATCCTGTAATCACCTTTTGCTTCAAAGTTTGACGAAAGTGTTTCTGTAAGTTTCCTCCAAGGTGAAGAATTTTTAAAAGTTTCAAAAGGTAGGTTGGTAGTCCAAGAGAAGCAGGTGTTAGCTTGTCTGGCTCGTGATAAACTGCCCTGGATATCATTGGGAATATCATATGAACTCTCTTGACTGATCGGTTTGAATACCCAGAATGTTTCCTCATGCGACAGCAAAGTCTTCATATCTCGAATCTCCTCTGTGGTGAACAAATTGTCCTTAACCAAAATCACTTCCGATGATAGTGATCCTAAAAGGTTAAGAATCAGCAAAAGAGTGAAGCAAAGTATATTGTATAAGCCAGTGGCAACTGTAGCCATGTCAAGTTTTTGCATGCGATCGGCTCACACCAGACCAGCACTCCATTTTGTAAAGCGAAAAGACCCTGGGTAACCCTGGGACCGAGGTTGGAGCAATCTTGGAGCCACGTGACCGTTCGTCCGTCCGTCCCCACCACCGGGTAAGTAATGTGAAATGTTAGTTTTCAGCTATAGTATGGGAGCTGGTAACCTGTGTTTAACTTCAAATAGACATTAATATAGAGAAGACCAAGTCCATGCATGCTTGTCGCCCGCAATCGCAAATTGCACGCGCTACTATATCTATCTCAGTATTTGAAAAAGAAATTGAGGGCGTTAGACACTTTATAAGTACTTGGGTGTAACTTTGTCCTCAAATTTTACCTGGGCGGAGCATATTGTCGTTGTTTCCACGAGGATAAATCAATGCTTAGAGTTTTAAGGAGGATTAAGAGTTTGCTTCCACGTAGTGCGCTTACTACAACAGTCTTGTTCTCCCGATCTTTAATTATGCCGACATTGTCGACATTGTTGCTGAATATGGAACCATCCACTCTCATTTCCTGCCAGTAAAATCCTGCTATTTTAGCTAGCAAAAAGCATCCTGCATCTGAGCTTTGAGATAAGTCTTAACCTTCGGTAACCTTTTCAAGCTGTTAGCAGTGGAAAGGAAAAACTGAGACAATTTTCTTGAATAGCTGGAAAACCACTGCATTTATCTCGGCATAACAACGTTCGGCCTCGGCGGATAGCGGGTAACACCTTTCTAGATATGCACAATTCTTCTTCTTATTCATTCCTGATATTTCTAATTTTCTGGTTGGCTCAAATCCGCTGGCTAATTTCGTTCATAACCCGCTAGCTTTCATCTAATTTGGAAGACGTTTGCGATATCCGATAAACATGACATCACTGGTGTAGGATAACAACAGGAAAAGGCTCGGTAACCGAGAAGCCCTAGGGAGGAAGTTGTTTTTGCTCAGCGTGCTAAAGAAATGGAAAGTTTCACACATTTTGTGAAAATCAAATAGCCGAACTACTGCCTAAAAAGTAAAAAGAACAACAAAATTACAACTCGACGGAAGACATATGCATTTGAAAAACATCTGCTTGACTAGACATCCCATTTTATCCTGAGTTTGAGGAGTTATGAGGACGGGCACTTTTTGAATGATAAGACACAGTTATTGGATTCGGCGTTTGTATAATACAAGATGATGATTCTTCGTATAATGCAAAATTTCTAAGTCTTTTGGTTTCACAATTAAAGATGGCCTTCACTAAGGCCGAGAACGAAAAGCAAAGTAAATATGAAATTGACAACGCTTCTTGCTACATAGGGAGAGAGTCCTATAGTGGTCTAACCAGGTCGTTTCACTGAATTACAGTAAAAACCCCTGACTAAGAACCTGGTTTTAAAGAACCTGTTAGGCTAAAATTTGCCAGTGAGGCCCCCTCTATACAATAACCTGTTTTAGCCTAAAATTTAACACAGGTTCTTATTTTAAAAATTTTTTTAAAACATTTTTTGTACACTTGGACAGGTAGGATAAGTTAACACTCAGGATCCCCTTTGGAGACATAAGTACCCTATCACCCCTACTGGGATGAATTGGTATGCAAATTTTATGCAAAGAATAAACTGAACACCACCAAATACTCTTAGCTACAATTTATTTTTCCTTCAGAAAATACGAACCTATTTAAGAACCTAAATAGCCAAAATTTGTCCTTATTACCATTTATGTAAGAACCAATTTAGGCCAACTTGGGAAAGTGCAGGTTCTTAGTTGTGGGTTTTTACTGTAATCGGTTTGGCTCATCGCTGTCAGCGGGTCAACGGGTCATCCTATTACGCGGAGCAAATCAACAAATTAACATTTAAAGTGCAAAGGACCGCAAACGAATACGCCGCAGAACGTAGGATCTATAGAAAACCTGATCAGCAAAAACTATACAAAGTAGACACATTGAATTCTGCAAAGCTGATCGTACTACGTGAAAATTAACTTTGCAAGACATCAAAACGACACTGAAAGAACCCTAAACAGAGCGGAGTTGTAGCCGTAGACAGCTGTTTCGCCATTCTTGTGGCTACATCAGTACGGTGAAACAAAGAGAGAAGCTCTGCTGAAAAATACCAGCTCCCTCTGTTTTAGAGCCCTGACATTTAACTCCAACATTAACAGAATCAAGCCATATCACGTGTCTCCGAGAGGGCAAGAGTTCAAGTGTTGCGCTGGTTTTTCGCAAAGAAATATAGGATGGACAAAACCAACCTTAGAAACATGGGCAAAACCACGCAAAAATGAACAGCATATCGGATCTATAGAAGACCTACAGCCCCAAAATAACTAATGAATTGACATTTAAACTGCAAAGGACTGCAAACGAATATGCCGCAGAACGTAGGATCTATAGAAGACCTGATCAGCAAAAATACACAAGTGGACACATTGAATTCTGCAAAGCTGGTCGTACTACGTGAAAAAATGTGAGCCTTGATCGCATTCCGCGCGTCTGCAGCGGGAACAGTGGGAAATATAGGAAAACGGGAGGACCCTGGGAACGAGTTCGAACGGAACGCGAGTGAGTGAAGAAGATGGCGGATCCATTGTCGCTTCTTCGCCAGTACAACATCAACAAGAAGGAGATTATAGAAAGGGCAGATGAAATTATATTTGACGAGTTTTCATTCTTGAGGGCTGCAAAAACGAATTATGTCATCTTCAAGTGAGTAGAATGCCGTTAGACCTCTCGGAAAAGTGAAAGAATATTGGTCGGTTGTGTACCTAAACAAGTCTCATTTGTGAACTTAACTTTCATTCAGATCCCAGCCGAAGGAGTATTATACCTTGGAGTCTTTGTTATTCCTTTTGAAGAATGTTCACTTATCTCATCCAATCTACGTACAGCGTGCAGCGGTAAGCCAATACTTTAATTTTACGTGCAATTACAAGCTGTGTAAAAACTAAGCTTAAGCCTAATTTACTATTTTTCAGTGCTAAGGTTACAGCTGTAGCTTGAAGTTGAAGCTCTCTCTTGCTTCAATTGATCCAATTTATGAAATAAATCATACCAAATACATAGTCGTAGTTTAGTCGTTTATGGTGCTCTGTTAATCATGCTTTCATTAAAGTTGCATTTGTAGTTATCGCTCAGTAAATTAGTACACGCCAATGAGATAATACCAGTTACTGATCTGACAATTTTTTCATGTAAGCATTGATTATTGCTCATATTTTACAGCTTTTGCTAGAATGAGATTATTAGTTTGCTGTTCTTGTTCTTCAGAGAAAGCGTTATTAGTACCTGAATTGGCTCAATGAATTTGCATCTCCCAGATTAATTTACTGTGTGTTTTGTTATCTTTTTAGGGAACAAAGATTCCTGTTGTGAGGTTACCAGACAGAAAGGTCTGTATTCTTGGTGGTTTATTTTTTTATAAGATAATGCTAGGCTTTGATAAATGCTGTGTCTGAAAGAAATTTTTTGCGTTGATTTTTCAAAACAATAAATTTCATTTACTCTGCGTGCCCTTGGTACAGAACAGATACGGCAATTACATTAACAGGCTGTCATAAAAAGCACCAAACAACTTTGTGAAAATAAAAAGTTTGAGTCATGAGCTGGAGTGAATCAGAGTCGCAAGATTCAAAACATGTTCATTTCCTCCTGACTGCCCCGCCCTACACCCTTCGAGCTTAGCCACCTTTTGTGTTTTTCTTGTTAGAGGATGAGAAAAGCAGGCTCTGCCTGAATCATGTCAAGCCGTTGAAGAACTTCTGGACTACTCTATCTTGTTTTCTCTAATCAGACAGTGAAACTGTTTTTTTGCGAGTATGAACATCTGTTTCATTACTGAGCCTGCTGTACCAATTGCACAGCTATTTGATTTGGGTTGAAAACTGTATCCAAGCAACATGCAGTGCATGGTCAACAAAGATATTACTCAATTCAAAGTCTTTCTTTCCCAACTCTTGCAGAGTCTTTTTTGAGTACCCTAAAATCAACCATGTGAAAAATACATTGTAGGCTCTTCTGGAAGGGTGACCCCTGATGATTTTGTTTCTTGCCATCATTTGAAAACCTGCTTGTTGGAGTCATAAGCAAACACCAAAAGGATAAACCAATAGAGAGGAGAAATGTAATGTCACATTACCATGGTAGCAAAATTTCTGGATCTCAATAATCTCTCTTGATAGAGACAGCCATTTGTGTTGTCGAACAATGGAAGGAAAGTATGGGCTACTGTTTTGTTCCTGAGTGCAATCATGTACATGAAAATCATACGTGTCAATGTCTTTATTTTTTTTGCCATATTTGCAAGACTATGGCTTGTTGAGATCCAGAAATTCTTCTACCATGGTAATGTGATTAGACAAGGTTTCTCCTCTCTATCACAAGTCTCATCAACAGACATATAATGAGTTTAGCTCTTCTGCTGCTGCTGCTGTAGGGTTATCCAAGGTCCTCATTTTATGGAACAACGGTAGTGTACAAACAAAAATAACTTCCCATAATTGTTTGTTTTAGGGATTACTCAGCTACCTCAATGGAGAGACAGGTGAAGTTCTTAGCTGTAATTAAATTGGATATGTGAATGCTAGATGTTCTTTAATTTTTTGATAATGAAAAACAATTTGCATTAAAATTTTTTGTGACACATGCAGGCTTTGACACTTTTAGTCTTAACATACATGGGATACTAAGCAAATGTAGCAAGACTAAGGATTAAAAATCTAGAGCTTGTTGTATTTTGCATCCTTCTGAATGGGGTCCCTGTAAACTGCAGGACTTACAGTAGCTGCATGCGCAGCAGCTAAGTATATATCCACGAAAACAAACTAATAATGGTTTTGGTTATCTAATTTGAAAAAAGCTGTTGTCTCCATGAAATAAATACAGCAGGATTGTGGAGGCTATCATTTTATTATCAGTGATTGTGTATGTTGCTTTGTTGTGTAAGATTTTATGTGAGACGTACACTGTAATGTGAGCTGTGTTTTAGTAATATACTGTCTACTCTGTATATTTGTATTTTTAGATACCTCAAGTAGCATTGACAAAAGTGTTCCACTAGAGATGCCAAACCAGCGCTCTGCAATTGCTCAAGCACAAGGTAACATTACATGTACATATACATGCATAAATACCAGCGTGTAAACAACTAATATGATTGGGCTTGAAGATGATGATGTGAACAGCAGAAATACAAATTTAAGTCAAGATATGATCAACACAGTTGTAATAGAAGCAATTGCAAATTAACCCGAAAAAGTTTTCGGGGCTATAACAGGATTCAAACCCATGGCCTCTGCATTAGCTCTACAGTGCTCTAACAACTGAGCTATGAAGACCCATACATTGGGAGCAGGCCAATTTGTCCAGCTTATCTTAACCTGCATGAACCATAGAGTGATAATGATGTGGACTGTAGAAATACAAATCTAAATGAAGATACAGGGTTGTCATTAAGAGCCAGGGGCCGGGGATTTTCCCCGGCTACTAAGAGAGTGGCCCCCGGCCCCTTTTATTGGAAAATAGAAGAAAAATAGAACCAAAAGAAATCCCTAGCCTTTTGATTCCCTGCCTACTTGTTGTATTTACCCGACAACTTGAAATCTTAGTGACAACCCTGCAATTTAAACAATTTATTATTGTTTAAATTGCTATTACAACTGCAGTGATCATATCTTGATTTAGATTTGTATTTCCACAGTCCACATCATTATCATTCTCTGTTTCAAATATTGCAAATCAGTCTGGAAGAAAAAGATTCAGGCCTCAATGGGATTCAAACCATGGCTGTGCTCTAATAGAAAATGAAGGGGGCCCAATGCTTTTAACTTGAGAAATCCAGGGTGCTCAGCATAATAAATTTGTTCATTGTATAAATAAACTAAGATTTTCTTGTCACCTAAGAGAAAGAGTAAGGAGCTAGGGACCACCAGGCGCTGCTATAGTACAGCCCTGTGAACCAATGGCCTTTGCATTAGTGCTGAAGTGCTTTAAACAATTGAGCTTGTTAATTCTTCTTCTCACGATAATTACCTTGTTACTGATTGTGATGTGTTTGCTACGTACTGCTGGTGTTCTTAAGGCAATGGTGTTATTTAGCTACATGGAAATATTAGAAGTATTGTGGTTTTGAAAATGATTTTGAAATTCGGACAAGACTTTCAATTCTATCTTCCCAAAAAGGGACCTCATTCTTAGTACTCTGACTATCTAGTGAGTTTTGCTATGAGGGCTTAAAGGTGTTATCTCTGTTGTTTTTGTAGCCGGCATGTGACACTTTATTGACAACATCTGAAAATGTTGTTGATTGGCCAGTATTAAATCACAATTGTCATGGGCTGGAAGACCACGTGATGTGGTTAAGATGGACGGCTGTGTGTTTAAGTGCTCCGCGTAACATTTCAAAAATTTCTAATGTTTAAGTGTGCCTTCTGCTTTCTTCTATTTGTTTGGTTATCTTGTTTCCTGTGTCATGTTATGCCTGAGTACTTGCCTTGTTTTATGCTAGTTTAAATTCTGTTTACTGTATAGTAATGTATTCACTGTTATTTAGTCCATCTATATATAAATCTTGTTTTGTAATATGTCTTTAGCTCCCCCCGCCTCAATTGGTTTATAAGCTTTTTGCGGGTGGAAAAGTAATGTAATTAGTTATTTTCCAATTTTCAATAAAATTTGTTGTTGTTGTTGTTGTTGTTGAAAAACACATCCATCATAATTATGTTTCCATTCAGATTTTGATATACTTTTTGCTAATAATGTTATTCAAAGTAGTTGCTTCTTCTTTCAATGGCCGACGTTTTTGGTTGGCTGTTAGTGCTTATTGCAACCCCTGGGCTATGAAATAAATTTTAGTGAAAAGTTTGTGAAGCTAAAGAGAACATGACTCAATTCCCAATTAAGATCTTCTGCCTTACTGCAGCTAAAGGTCACTTGCTTTGCAGTAGCAGTTACTTAGTGGTTGTTGTAACATATTATTGTTTTATTTACATGACAGCAAAAAGACCAGGAGACGATGCAGTTGGTGGAGAGTTTAAAAAGCCAAGAGTTGAGGTCAGAGTATTGAGAAGAGCCTATAAATTTCACAGTGTAAAATCTTCCCTACTATTGCCTGAGTAAATTGTAAATCTTCTTGTTGTAGCAATTCTTACTTAGCTCGTAAAACACTGTGATAACCGTACTTTAACATGTTGTTGTTGATTTCTCTTTTTCAGACAGAACAGTTAAGACTGGATAAGGTAACACTTCAGATATACAATGTACATGTTACCGGTCGAATTTGATTTCAGGTTAAAATTTTTTAACCAGGTTCATTTTCAATTTCCTTTGTCTTCTAGGGCTAGGGGAAATTGGAAATTGATAATCAGCCTAGGTTTTTAAAATCAAAATTAACCTGAAATCAAATTTGACCAGTAACATATGTCATAAATAACTACAACTTTTTGTGAAATAAATTATAATGAGAAGATCCACAAATTTCAAACAACGTGATTGATTTGGTAGTGGGGAGCAGAGCATGCCTTAAAAGTCCTTGATTCTATAGACTGGGGCTAACACTAAATGTTTTTAAGAAGTCAGGTATAGGAAATTAGTTTGTGGGGAATTGAACAGCTACATGGGAAGTTCTTTTTGGTTCTATTTTATTTTTGTTTCCTATGAAAGTAGCTGAGTGTACTGCTCAGACAGAATTGTTGCATCAAAGTACATACAATCATGGACATGTATGCCACTCAAAATGAGCTCGCAACCAGCAATTTTGCCGCTTAAAGTGTAGTATTTGCCAGCTACCTTACACTTAACCTCTGAAAAGTTAAGTGAGACTCACACAGCATAAAGCTGTAATTGCTATAGTTTGTGCATCTACCTGCTACTGCCATTAGCCTGCTTATTATTGCAAACATGGATGCCAGGCATCAATTTACAGAGTATCTGCATATTGATTTTCTTTTTTAATTAATAGAAAAGGTTGGAGGCTCGACTTGAAGGGCACAAAGAGGGTACTGTCACCACAGAGCAGATCCGGTGAGTGGACTGTATTCAAATTTAATGTCATTCTGTGTGCTAATTTAACACCTGCATTCAGGTCAGAAGTACACATCCAAACAAAAGGTGCTGCTAATTTTGTTACCATATGCTGGAGTAAAAGCTTTTCTTTAGAGCATTTCAAACAGTATTCTATTACAACACTCTCACCTTGAACTTGCTGAATATATTCAGTTATGGTAGAGTTGACCAAGCACCTTCAGAGGAAATAGAATATGGCATTAGGCTAACCGCACAAATTTTCAGTGTGCAAGTGGGAGGGTGGGCTGTTCTGTGTTCCTTCTTGCCACTGATCTGAGAATAAGTGGAGTAAAGGCTTTGCGGCTATTTTATTGTCACCCCTAGGGACCATTACTCCCCAGTCTGGTTATTTCTAGTCCCCCAAGCATTAGCAGGGGGTTCTAGCTTTTGCGCTTTGTTTTCAATTATTGTGAATAGTGTCAAGGTAAGCTTTTGTTGTAGTCATGTACTTCTAGTGTTTGTTCTACTGCCTTCAGATTCTCATAAAATAATGTAATTAGGGAATAACTAAGTGGAATATTTTAATGGTTCATCATAATCAATAATAATTTATTGCTATTTAACTTTAATCAAGGTTACTACATGTACATTTACACTGTATACGTTGTAAACATGTATCAGGTTCTTCTTGGAATCTGCCTCACAATAATAAAATAATATTCTTGTTTTTAATGTTATTCTTGTTTTGTTGTTTTTACCTTACATAATGTAGGTCCCTGAGTGATGCTATGTCTGTTGAGAAAATTGCAGCCATCAAAGCCAAGCGTCTGGCAAAGAAACGGACAACCATTAAAGTGGATGATGACCTGGAAGCAGGCGTCTTGGTATGGAAACAATGACTAGGGAGGGGAGGGGAGGGAAGGGAGGGAAGATTTTGGCATTTAAATCTTATCTAAAAGATGCTTGCTCCTCCATTATATGTACACTGTTTTGCCTTTTGTTGGTCTTTGGAAATGATATTGATTTATCAATTTTTAGGAACAAAGATTTTTTGTGGATGCAGAAGTTGACGTAACAAGAGACATTGTTAGTCGTGAGCGGCCTTTACGAACACGGACTTCAGTCCTGCAAAGTTCTGGCAAGGTTTGTCATCGCATCAATAATTGACTATTTTTCATTTCTGATAATTATCCCCCCTCCCCTCTTTCATTATTGTAGATTGTTGATCGCAACAACAAATACATTCCTTGCAATTGATTTGTAGCAATTTCTAAAGAATGTGCTAGCCATTCTTCAATCAGTGAAAGCCCAGGAAGAAGGAAAAGTCAAGCAACTACAAAACCAGGATCCCTTTTCTTCTGCTGTAAGTTATCATTCTCCTGCATTATTTTTCACTAAAAAACAAAATTATTTTTCAAGTTCAAGAAAAAAGACAGAAAAAACTTGGATCTTGACGAAGACGTGAAAAGATGTACAGATGTAATTCTATTTTCAGGATTTTGTGAGGATTACAGAAAGGCATTCTTTGCAGTTGATGAACTTTTAACACAAAAACACCCAAAAACAAGTAATTAATATAACCAGCAATGACTTTTCATGGCCTGTAGAAGAAGCTGAAGATATTAAGAAGTGTGACGTCTGTAAATATTGTATTGCTCAGGGAATTTTTAGTCTTTGAATTCCCACATTCAGACTTTCTTTTCTCAAGTTGCGTATTTATTTGTGGTGATCATCTCTGTATTTATTTGGAATTTTCTTTATTTGAAAGACTGGCAATCCTGTTACAACAATAGTCTTGCTACATTCACCTGCACCTAGCGGTCCCCTAGCTAAGTCATCTTTTAAATTTGCTTACTTTCATCCAAAAAGGAAGCCAGGAAGAAGCCAGCAACACCAGTTCCATACAACAGATACGATCAAGAGAGATTTAGAGGAAAAGAAGGTATTTAATGAAGCCATGTCTACATGTACATTATACAGAGCAAAAGCATTTTGACCTTCACTCATTGTCACCCGCACTCCGTAACCTTTGGTTATTACTAGTATAGTGTCATTAATGTTTGTTCTTTCTTTTTTGTCCGTAGAAACTGAGGGATTCAAGATTGACACCATGGGAACATATCACGGTCTCAGTTTAGAGTCTGTGAAGGTGATGATTTGGAAACTTTGCAGTTTTCAAGTGTATTATCAGGTTTAACAACTTGAGGCAAAGCCACGACGGCGAGTTTTTTGAATGGCTTGAAAATCTCTGATATAGGTCAACTCATTCTTGCACTAATATTTAGATTTGGGGTTATTTTGGTCTAAAAAACTGGACGTAAAGCTTAGCCGTGTCTTTGTCAGATGTAAAGACACTCATTAAACATTAATTTCTTTTGTTTTTTCTTAATGAATTATTAATTCAGTTTTGAATAAATTATTGTATTTGTAAATGCTATAATGTGCGAGATTATCCTTTAATTAGAAGATTTTTGAAAGTGTGTGGTCACGTTAGTGGAGTGGTGGCCAGAGGTAGCCCAAGCTCAAAGTATGGACCTCGGCAGAGTTGAATAACCTTAAAAACATGTGTGTTCATTCCCTCCTCTCCTTGTCTGTTACTTGTTTAGAGCAGCTTTGAATGAATGAAATGTTTTGCTGACTGGACATTATCCTTTTTCTTCTTCAGGAGGGTGTCCAGAAGCCAGCAAGGAGAGTCTTACCCAGTCCCTCACCTCATACACAACCCAGCCGGACACCCAGACCTGGTGAGTACTGGACCCTAGTAGAAACATCTCAGCTCTTTTGTGATTTTTGAGTCAACAATTGTTTTGATAATACATGTTGAAGAAGCAACTAACAATATTGTTTACATGTATTTTTTTCCGTCAGTTCCACAAAAGCCTGCTAAACGAGGTAGGAAAATTTGATCATCTGTACACCTTCAACTTTTAAAGATAAGATGAGAACTTTATTTGAGTATCAATGTATAGTGTATTCACTTTAGCACGACGACACTATTTTTACGTCCCCTATAAATGGATACAAGACCACCATTGTACTTGGTCATCCCAGCCACGTGAAGGTCTAGTCAAGGCAGTACCTTTATTACTCAGTTATTTTAAGAACCTTGTATTGGTCTGGGCCTCCCACTCCACAGTCACATGCTCTACCAACTGAGCTCAACAAGCTGCAGTCAAAAACAGTCCTATATATGTAATGATGATCCATATAACATAGCTAGAATTTTCATGTAATCAAAATATATTTTTTTTCAATGAAATGACCCTAACCATTTTTTTGCCTCTTGTAAGCCCTCTCCTGTAATTTTATCACACTAAAACCATAAAATGACCATTTTTTTCCAGAATCACGCACACCAATAATTATAATCCCAGCTGGCACGACCTCTCTGATAACACTTTACAATGCTCAGGATCTTTTACAGGATTTCAAGTGAGTTCATTTTTTCCTTATAATTTAGACTATTAGGGGCTAGAGAGTTCTATGTACTTCAAAACTGATAAAAAAATACAAGTTTTGTCATGTGTCTATTCTATTCATATGCTTAGGTGTCTAATACAATTAAGCAAAAACAAATTCTTTTCGAAGTACTTTTTAGAGTATGAACAGGGTGTAAAATGAAAGGCAATCTGATTGCTACGCTGGCTAACAACTTACTGATTAGTTTTATCATCGCTCTGCCAACTTAGCTTTGAAGCTTAATGGGAACACAACCTCTAGCACTCAAATTCCATCTCGGAGTCAGTTTTCTGTCCCTGCATTTGTGTCTTAAGTGTTGTGCAACTCAACATCTACTTTACTCTTTGCACAAGAATGATATCCATTAACAAACTAAGACCAGGTTGTAACGTCGCATTTCATAAAATTGTTTCGAATTTACATCGCAGTGAGAAAAGTCTGTTGTTCTTGCCCATTTTCATTAGATTTGACACATGTGAAATGCTTAAGTGCTACCCTGGTTCCCGAGGTTTTTCTTGAAATTGTTCTCCGCGCAAAATGCAACGTTTGAACCGGGCCAAGAGTCGCTCTGGTGACTGCACTCATTGCTTTGAGTCGGGACACTCATTGTATCAGCGAAGTCCTGTGGACATAGCCCTAACATTCTTCAACTTACTTCTAATTGTCTTATAGATTTATTAGTTCTGAAGAAAAGAAGAGCCAAGGTGCAAGACGTGAAAATGAGGTTCTTATTCAGCGAAGGAAAGAAATTCATCAAGCGCAAGCTGCACCTGGGGCCACACCCACTACTGTGACTGTACCATACAGGGTTATAGATAACCCTACACGTCTACAACCTAACGACTGGTAAGTAAAATGACAAGGGTGTTCAATAGGTTGTTTACCATCTTCAAAAAGCTTCCGGCAAATCCGGTTGGAAAGTAAGTGGCACAGGACTTTTTAGGTTGTTTGCGAGAGCAATGGAGAATATGAAAAAGTAGTCCTGTTTTTCCGGACGGTATGTTTTAAACGGAAATTCGTGTTCCATAGATTTAAAGCCATCTTTGGTACCAGTTTCATGCCTTCGTGGCCGTCTTTCGGTTAGTGGAACTTATTTGTACAAATGGTAGACAGGATTTCGTGGCGAAATTTACCAGTCCTTAATTTTGCTTACCAGTTAACCAAACCGTGAACCGACCGGTCTCCCCCAACCTCGTTCCCAGGGAGAGAGAACCTGAGAACGAGGTTGCGGTCTGCCCGTGCAAATGGTAAACAATCACGAGTTCAATACACGTTGAGAGCCGAGCTTGTGTTAGACTTGTTGAGAAACGATACATAGTTTTAATAAAAAGTAATGATTGCACTTCTCTTCAAGACGCCATTTGTGAAGGCAATTTTATCCGTCTATGAAGAATTTTAACAGTAAAGAAGCTAATTTCTTTGGGAGAATGAAAAACATTTTACTAAGAACAATATTTTATTTATATTTGCTTGCTATCGTTTTTTACATTATCTTGTTCAGTTTTTTCCGCTGGCCTTAGAAGCTGACTCGATCCCCGCCAGTCGTCTTGGTAACAAGCACGGTAGCGGAAGCAGAGGGTGATGGAAAGGGAGAAGAGAAGAAGTCTCTCTCCGTCGCTTTCCTCCTTCCCATCTAACCCTGCGCGCCACCAACGGAGAAATGAGAGACAACTGGGAACGAGTCAGCCCCAGAAGTTTGACCACAGAATTGACCACAGAAGACCTAACAGAAGACCGGAAGTGCACCCAGTCTCCCTCGTCATTGATAATCCAAGATGGTGACTCCACGCAAAAAAATTTCCTTAAAATACTAAGCGCGTGCTCGCCACCCAAAAATATGCCTTCACTGCAGGCTAGATTATAATTGATGGAGATTCATCAAGCCTCTCTCTAAGGCTGTCTTTACTGTGTTTTTTTTGTTCGTTTATTTATTGTCCGCGGCAGGAATCGTGTGGTAGCTGTATTTGTTCAAGGGCCTGCATGGCAGTTCAAAGGATGGCCATACACCTCACCAGTCGACATTTTCACCAAAAGTGAGTTGTTCTCTTTCTTAATGTTATGATTACTAATGAATGATAATCCACTGCGCGCATGTACACTGAAGTATTTAGGAATACCTGTCGCTATGTCTTGTTCTGCAAAAGAAATAGAATCTTTGAAGGGATTCGAACCTAATACTTTCTAGATTATCTTTTCAAATGCTTTACTTTTGAGTTTTGGGTAACTCCTATCGAGGGAGGTCATCCAGTACAGTAAATGTGAAATGTCTGAGTTAATTATCTAAATGATAGAAAGATTTTTTTTTTTATCACAAATAGATTTATGAAGTGTGGCGTCATAAAAATTATTTTTGTGAAATTATTGGACTTGTCGGGATATTCAGCAAGAACAACATCTAAAAGGCCAACATACCGAAAACTAGCATTTTGGGGCAAATTGTCTCTTAAGATATTAGCCCAGTTATGCGCTGGTCACTCCATACTAGTCCTTCTAAATTTGACTCTGTTTATGACGTTAAGAACCAAGGCAAATTATTTTCAGTGTATTTCACAACCAGAGAGTTTTCTTTTCAATTCCTTTAGCTGGTTTCATATACTTTTGCAAGTCTTCGTGAGCTGGGCTGTAAAAATGCCGTTATACTCAACACTCCTTGGATTTCATTACCGGATCATTTGCAATCATTGAGTTGTAAACTTTATTTCGTAGTGAAAGGTTTCTATCTAAAGTACGATGAAATGAAGACAGACACTAATGTGCAGAAATGGGATGTCCAGGTGTTAACGGTAAGTTCTTGCTGGCACTACTCTGTGAGCCTCTTTTTTACTTGTCCTACCACCTTGCCTAGTCCCTAGGCCTCATTAATCCGCGCGGCCAACTCGATTCGGGTCACGTGGTCCAAGCGAAGAAGTGTGAATTGACCGAGAAGGCCTGGGAAAACGCCGTATAGGGACTAAGCAGACTAAGCACGTACCACCAACTCTACCAACAAACCTTCTTTGGACAAATCTGTTGTCATGACCACCATCTCTTTTAGTATGAGTGCTGAAACTCTGGTTGAGAATTTTTTTTCTTCTTTGTGATTAAAACAATAGGATCACAGCGATCATGGTAACATATAGGGGACCAGTTCCATGGGTAGAGCTTATCTTAGTAAACGAGAACGACTTATCAGAGCGCATGTTGTGTTTTGCTTCATTTTCTAATTGCGTACACAAGTTTAGCATTAAGCAAATGAATTGCTGACCTTTTCTTCTGTTAGCTCTTTAAAAGAGGCTTGAAAATATGCTGTCACTATCCCCCGTTACGTTAGACATCATTCAGGTTACGGCAAACTGCATTGTAAAAACTCGCAACCACGATTTTCAGCGCAAGAGAGCGATGCAACATTGTTGCGAGATTTTGTCGAGTTGGTACAACATTGTTTTCATATTGTTGCCTTAAAAATCGTCGTAGCAAATCGTCTCGTGTAACATCACCTTAATACAGACTTCTTCCCTTTCTTGGTTATGCTGTCCTTGGCAGTGCATGAAAATATTTTATCGTGTCTTTCACCCTTAGATCAGCCGAAATAAAAGACATCTGGATAAAGCCTCAATCATTCGATTCTGGGAAATCCTAGACAAGTGAGTGGAAACTGACGGTCTTTACTTAATAACACGTCTGTGTAAACCAGCCGGATATGGCTTTACTCTTGCCGTTCACCTGTAACCAATATTCCGCATTGCTATAATTATACGAAACACCTTTTTACTTGCAAAGAAGGGTCCAGTAGTAGATGCTGGTAGCTGCACACCCACCCCTCCCCTAACCCATCTTTAACGGTAACCTCTTACTTAGGGCAAAATCTTGGATTAAGGAGGGATGGTGGGTACCGTAGGTGCAGACAGTTTCCCAGGACCTTCGCCGGAAGGGTAACCCTCCTAGAAGGATTTTTGGTCCCGTTTGCAGGAAGCAGGGTAGTTGGGATAGCCTCTGGTCTGTTTGCAATATTGGGGGTAATTTTTTCTCCCAAACGGATCAACTTTTTGCTGTACTGAACATGTACGGGGTTTGAAAGGGATTGTAAAGTGATAACATTATTAGAAAATCAGCAGCGATAAAGCCCTCGTCTAATAATAAACGTTTTGACAATATAATAATGTAATGGCGGGCAATCTGTTTAACCCTTCTTGGGTGTTTGACCTGAACAGGACCGAACAGCTGAAAAACTTGTCTTAAGTGGGATTCAGTTATTTCTGCTGAACGTTTTAAGTGCCTACCTTACTAAAAACCTACATCAGATTATTTTAGCAGCTACTAATCAGCGCTTGTAAATATAAAAATGCAGGCGCTGCTCTCTTTTAGCAAATAGTTAATGGGTTACGTATTAACTTTTCGTTTTTACTTTTGACAGATTCATGACCAAGCACAAATCACACTTACGCTTTTAAACTGCCAATCATGTCGACAGTTTTTGCCGCGTAACTGCGGTTGGTTTACAGAGAGGATAAAGATGTCTCTCAGTTAAAACCTGTGGCCGGCCTAATAACGTCTACCAGTTAAGCATTTAACGGTAATTTCAACGGACACATCAGTAGTTTTATTTACATACGTCGGGACAAATACTAACGTTATCATGCTAGCTCGTAGTGGATGGCAAAATGCAAACAGCGAGCGTAAAACAAGACAGTGGATTATTAATTTAATGCTAGGGAAGAGAGTCCAACGAAGTTTTTGGATGATGGTTCTATGCAATATACTTTATTTGTAAAAGTTGACTTGTTTGTATAAGGCCAGCAATGCTATACGAAGAAGTTACTGAGATAAAATGTATATGATCCGATATTGTACGCGATAGGAAGTATTATAACTACATCCTTACTCTATGCTATTAGAGAACTTTAGTTTCAAGGACGAGATTTGACTTGCGGCGTATTTGCAAAAAGGAAACACCTCGGAAAGCTTCATTGCACCTTTTTTCACCTTAATAACTAGCACCATTATCTTATTTTTAGGAGATTAAGCCTTCTACCGATCGGAACTTCTACCATTTGATAACTTGTTTCCGCCACTACAACATTCTCGCTAAAACCCGTGGTAGGACGACGGCTATTAAGTTTTCCCGCCACAATGACGCGGTTTCACGCGCGAGCGCTGCTTAGTTTTGAGAAAATCTCGTTCTCGTCTTCTTGCAGTCTCTCTCATCTTAGAACCCAAAGGTCTCTACTTTGGTAGCTAGCGCAATGAATACTTCTTTATGAAGATATTGTTTTCATGCCTATTATGTACCATCATGAACGAACGAGCTGCGATGTGGTATTAGGTAAAGGAGCGGATAGATAAACGTACCTTAGGAGTACCATTCAAGAATTATTCTGGAAAAAAGCCTGGAAATCATTTTGGTGAAACCAAGCTCCATTCTTTTTTTGGGACATCGACCATCGGTGACTAACGTATCTGGGCAAGTATAAATCGTCCTAATCCATGACAGGTTCTTATAGAAAAACTAAGGTGGGTTCTAAAATTGGTTGGTCAGCATTTTGATCATAAAATGCTCAGTTTAACCGAACTTACTTGAAACCGGCAAAGACAATGGACCTGTTTGGCCGGTGAAAAGTCAGTTTTACGCATGAACGTCCCAATCGAAATTCCGGTCTCTGTAAATTTCAAGCCAGTTTGAATATTGCCTTAAAAACAGCNAATGAATACTTCTTTATGAAGATATTGTTTTCATGCCTATTATGTACCATCATGAACGAACGAGCTGCGATGTGGTATTAGGTAAAGGAGCGGATAGATAAACGTACCTTAGGAGTACCATTCAAGAATTATTCTGGAAAAAAGCCTGGAAATCATTTTGGTGAAACCAAGCTCCATTCTTTTTTTGGGACATCGACCATCGGTGACTAACGTATCTGGGCAAGTATAAATCGTCCTAATCCATGACAGGTTCTTATAGAAAAACTAAGGTGGGTTCTAAAATTGGTTGGTCAGCATTTTGATCATAAAATGCTCAGTTTAACCGAACTTACTTGAAACCGGCAAAGACAATGGACCTGTTTGGCCGGTGAAAAGTCAGTTTTACGCATGAACGTCCCAATCGAAATTCCGGTCTCTGTAAATTTCAAGCCAGTTTGAATATTGCCTTAAAAACAGCCAACATTTCGCAACGCCACCAGCTGCAGTGGCATGTTTCCCCGCAAAATGACGTGTAAAAAACGAGCTAAGAATTTTCCATACTGATCTGAGTAGTGACGCGTCATCAGCATAACATTTCTGCGCTCGCTTCTCCGACGTTATTTCGCGGGGAACTCGCGAAATGCCGGCTATTTTCTCAGGCTAGTTTAAATAGCAAAGGATTTTGCTCAACATTTCAATCAATTCAATCTATGATGCTATGTAGTAAAGTACATGTGTACGTCACTTGAATTGACTTGTCTAATAAAGATTCTTTCGTACCACGTTACTTTGCTTATCCTGTGTGTAATTTGTATGGGCTGCCGGAGGTATAAATTGTGCGGTGAAAGGAATATTTTGAACTTTTTAGAAAAATTTACCTTTGAGGCAACGTTCAATTATAAGGATAGAAAAAATGTCTACTCTGTTATCTCAAGGTGATGTTACACGGGACGATTCGCAACGACGATTTTTAGCGCAACACAGCGTTGCAATGTCGGGACAATTTGTAACTACTGGAAACAATGTTGCAACGCTTTGTTGAGCTACAAATCGTCGTTGCGAGTCGTCTCAAGTAACATCACCTTTACAGCAATGAGTTGTTGGCTATTTTTTCAAGGGCCTCCCCCCTGTCTATCGTGCTTTTATTAAAGCATAATCGCACTGATGTATGCGTTAAGGTACAGTGCGACGCCACTTAGACAAAGTTGACCAATCAGATTACAGAAAAATAACAGTGCTTTCCAAGAAAGTTGGCTGTGGGCCAATCAGCTATTAGTCACTTGAAGCACAAAATTTAAATATCAATAGCAAACTTTAAATGTTTCACCAGACGGTGTTTTCCTATTAGAAACTATACATATAACACCCAAGAGACACATTTGTTGGATTCAAGGTGTTCTTTTGTCATCTACCATCAATTTGTTCGCTACCATTGCCACGCTTTGCGATAAAATTATGACTCCAAGTGAAATATTTAACTGATGATTACTTTTCTTTGCCTGCACATTTACTCTAGCGGACCTCACAGGAAACAAAAGCTATCTTTCGTGGGTTCAAAAGGTCACGTCTGCTGGTTTTAACTGGTTGATTAAAGCTTAGACATATGACCTGGGTTGTTTACCGTTTACATGGGCAAACCGGTCGGTCCACGGTTTAGGCAAATGGTAAGCAAAATTCAGGACTGGTAAATTTCGTCCCAAAATCGCGTTTACCATTTGTACAAATCAGTTCCATTTGCCGCAAAACGACCGCGAAGGCCTGAAACTGGTATCAAAAATGGCTTTGAAGAAATGGAACTCGAATTTCTGTCTGGAATATTCCGTCCGTTCCGCTGGAACGACCAAAAAAGTCATGTACCATTTACTTTCCAACCGGATTTTCTGGAATCTTTTGGTAAATGGTAAACAACCTTGATTTCGCGTGCACGGCTTGTTTCGCGTGGCTTGCATTTTCTATATATNCATATGACCTGGGTTGTTTACCGTTTACATGGGCAAACCGGTCGGTCCACGGTTTAGGCAAATGGTAAGCAAAATTCAGGACTGGTAAATTTCGTCCCAAAATCGCGTTTACCATTTGTACAAATCAGTTCCATTTGCCGCAAAACGACCGCGAAGGCCTGAAACTGGTATCAAAAATGGCTTTGAAGAAATGGAACTCGAATTTCTGTCTGGAATATTCCGTCCGTTCCGCTGGAACGACCAAAAAAGTCATGTACCATTTACTTTCCAACCGGATTTTCTGGAATCTTTTGGTAAATGGTAAACAACCTTGATTTCGCGTGCACGGCTTGTTTCGCGTGGCTTGCATTTTCTATATATAACGGCGGAAGCGGCGGAGTTGATCCGGGACTTCTCATACTTTTCCCTGTTGTGACTGCTAGAATGGGTTGCAACGGTCTGAAAAATTTCTCAAAAGGGAAAAGGGATTGAGAGGTGTGAAAGAAGGAGAAATTAGTGCAAGAAAAGCAGGCCAAATGAGGCCGGGCACCGAGCATGAAGAAATCCAGGAAATCCACACTCCAGGTAACGGTCAGACTAAATGGAAGAGTGATTTGACCGTCGGTTCACAGATTTTGGTTAATTGAGCTTGCAAACCGCGGCTTTGGCTTGGCTTGTCCACGGATGCATTTCTTAAACCATTGAAAAAGTTTCTAGACAAGGAAGTAAGACTTATACGCCGCTCTGGTAGTTTTCTCCACCATTTCACGATGTCAGGTTCCCAGATGCACTTATTTTTTTGTAATCGATTGCCAGACTACCCAGCTGGCCGGATACTGGACAACATAGGAGCTCTGCAAAAATATTAATTTCGCGATGGAAACGAAGGGGAAAAAAATTAAACTGTTTTTCATCATATTAAGGAATTAATAGATTGTCTCTGGCCCAAATTTCAGAACTCTTGCGACTAAGAAAGGAAAGTTATTGCAATGATAAACTGAAGTGGTCGGATATTGGGCAACATACTGAATGTTTTATTAACGTGGTGGAGGTTCGGATTTGTTTGGACGGCTGCGTGATCTCCAACTTTATGTAAATTGACTTTTTTCCTCTTTCTAATAACACCCCTTCTCAAACGTGCTTGGAATAAATGAGCCCCTGCAGAGCTCAAAAGGGGATTCACGGTATGTCACTAGATCAGTTGTTTGAGTCGAGAGCGGAAAGCACATCTAAATGGGGCGGGGGGGGGCGCTTATTTCATTCTCAAGCTCTTTCTTCTATTTTATTTCAATCTCAAATTGAAACTCGTCTTTGTTCAATTCGTATAGGTAATAGCATGAATTGTAGTGATATTTGGCATAAATACCACTTGTGACGTTTCGAAATTGTTATACGTAACTTTTATGAGCCTTTAGGTGAGTGAAATTTGAGACAATTTTGAAATATCTTGTACAAGTTACTACCACTTCGGTGAATAATTGTTTACCATTTTTATTCGCGGCCGCTTCCTTAACATTCGATAGCGTGATGTCCCTTAGTGGTTCATTTTTCACGGTTGCACCTCTGATTTAGTAAGGAGGACAAGGGGTGGCGTTAAGTGGCCTGTTGGTGGGGGGCGGGGAGGGGAGTTGGTGAGGGATCGAGGAAGTTCGCTTTTTTTGAAAAGGGGCCGTAATTCGACCTATCTCTAAGGCTTGCACAAATGACGTGGACGTTGCATATTCCAAATTTGAATGTCCACGCTACCCGAGAGGAAAAGGGAAAAACAGCATGCTCAGTTTTCATGCCACCATTGCAACAGGGCAGTTTTTCCCAGTTATTCTCGCGTTTCCCAGATTAAGGTGAGCGAAGACAACCAGAACAGGGGTGACAAATTCAACAATAGCAGAAGATTTGTTTCAATTATCTTTATCTGAAATTCACTTCGCTTGCATGAATTGAACTATATTCAAAGCACCGCCATTACATCAGATCATGTAGTATTCATTACACAGACTAATACATTATTAGTATTACTTACGCTAACACTCATTACAATTTTAATTACAATTTAAGTCAGGAATTGTTAAAAATACAGTATTGGATAGACAATAGTAAATATGAGTTGTTAAATTGACCGAGTTATATCTACTTTACAGCAAATTTAGAATAATCTTAATTTTTGAAGAAATCCAGTTAAACACTTCAGACAAGGCAACCTCCTCGCCCCCCTTTATTGCAACTTGGGAGTTAATGTTGTAAAAGGTAACCGTCATAAGAATTTCACGTGCTTGCTCTCGAGGCAAACTGGATCTTGTTTCGAAGTGAACATTTACAGAAAAGAAGAAGACGATGAGGGGACACGAAATTCGATAATGGATAAAATAGATAGCACTTGAGATGCAAGCTTTTAATTCTCATTACTATGGTAAAATTATTTTACAAGCTTCATTTCAGATTAAAAAAATTTCTATTTAATTTCCCACCGGTTCATCACTACAGTTTCTTTAAAAGTCAATCCCTTTATTAATACAACAGTTGCAGATCAATATAAATTTATAGAATCAATGTTTACAACCCACTACCACATTCTTTATGTCATTACCCTTTATCAGCTCTTTACATTACATATTGGAATTATTTTGTATAACGTTATATACATTAACCAAATCTCATTCACATTAAACGTAAAGCAAATCTCTACTGTCAAAGAGAAATTTTTAAAAGAAGTTTTAATGTACATATGATGTCAAACAATGGACATACTTTATTTTTACCACGAACACCAACAGAAATGATATCATCACAGTCACAACTAGGATTAAAGGAGTATTGAGCAGAGTTTATTTAATTAATATCTTTTGCTATTGTAATCGCAACAAAAATATAAATGATTTTGAGACGACCACATTCATGCAAGCCCAGCGAAGCAACCAAGACGACAGTTGAGGATCGAGAATGAAAGATGGCAAGATCGGGTAACACTTAGTTAACGAAGTTAAAGTAATCAGTAGAAAGTTTGTATGAAGATTGATGCAAGCTGAAGAAGCCATCGATAGCGGTCGCAAGTTACCGAAAGTAGCCCGAACGATTGCGAGGGTGTTCATTAGTTTTATAGTGTTCACAGATAGCGCGCGTTCGAAGTGATAGTAACTTTATTTGAAGATTGACGCAAGCCGAAGAAGTCAACGGTAGCGGTCAAAAGTTACTGAAAGTACCCCGAAGGATTGCGAGGGTGTTCATTAATTTTACAGTGTTCACAGATAGCGCGCGTTCGAAGTGATAGTAAGTTTATATGAAGATTGATGCAAGCCGAAGAAGTCATCGAAAGTTACCGAAAGTACCCCGAAGGATTACGAGGGTGTTCATTAACTTTATAGTGTTTACAGATAGCGCGCGTTCGAAGTAATAGTAAGTTTATATGAAGATTGTTATAAGCCGAAGAAGTCAACGATAGCGGTCAAAAGTTACTAAAAAGTACCCCGAAGGATTACGAGGGTGTTCATTAATTTTATAGTGTTTACTGATAGCGCGCGTTCGAAGTAATAGTAAGTTCATATGAAGATTGATGCAAGCCGAAGAAGTCATCGATAGCGGTCGAAAGTTACCGAAAGTACCCTGAAGGATTGCGAGGGTGTTCATTAATTTTTTAGTGTTCACAGATAGCGCGCATTCGAAGCAACAGTAAGTTTGCGTGAAGATTGATGCAAGCCGAAGAAGTCATCGATAGCGGTCGAAAGTTACCGAAAGTACCCCGAAGGATGGTGAGGGTGTTCATTAATTTTAAAGTGTTCAGAGGTAGCGCGTGTTCGAAGTAGTAGTAAGTTTATATGAAGATTGATGCAAGCCGAAGAAGTCATCGATAGCGGTCGAAAGGTACTGAAAGTACCCCGAAGGATTGCGAGGGTGTTCACTAATTTTATAGCGGTGTTCACAGATAGCGCGCGTTCGAAGTAATAGTAAGTTTATATGAAGATTGATGCAAGCCGAAGAAGTCATCGATAGCGGTCGAAAGTTACCGAAAGTACCCCGAAGGATTGCGAGGGTGTTCATTAATTTTATAGTGTTCAGAGATAGCGCGCTTTCGAAGTAATAGTAAGTTTACATGAAGATTGATGCAAGCCGAAGAAGTCATCGATAGCAGTCGAAAGTTACGAATGTACCCCGAAGGATGGCAAGGGTGTTCATTAATGTTATAGTGTTCACAAGTTGGTAATGGGTTTTTAGTGTTCACGATAGCGCGCGTCCGAAGTAATAGTAAGTTTATAAAAAGATTGACGCAAGCTGAAGTGGTAAACGTTAGTGTTCGAAAGTTACCGAAAGTACCCCCGAAAAAATGGCGAGAGCATTCACTACACTGAACGCAATTTGGCAAATGCATTAAAGCGTTTTCGATAGAAATGGTAAGGTTATAAAAAGATCAACGCAAGCCGAAGTAGCCAACGTTAGTGGTCGAAAGTTGCCGAAAGTAACCCCGAAAGATGGCGAGAGCATTCATTACACTGAACTCAATTTGGCAAAGGCATTAAAGCGTTTACGATAGAAATGGTAAGTTTATAAAAAGATCAACGCAAGCCGAAGTAGTCAACGATAATGGTCCAAAGTTAAGTACCGGAAGTACCCCCGACAAATGGCGAGAGTGTTCATTACAGTATACGCCATTTGACACTGGCATTTAAGCGATTACGAACACGAAGATAAACTAAACCTGAAGAAGTCGACAATATTACTCGCAAGTTACCAACACTGCCCAAAGGTTGGCGAGAGCCGATCATATTTCACTATCAGCAAAAAACATATTTTGAATAGACCTATCCTTAATAATTTCAGAACAAAAACGGCAATTGTTGCCCAGTAGCAGTCATTTTCGTAAGGAAAGTCCTCCTTCGAAAATGACTGCTACTCAAGTAGAATGCTACAAAGTTTTATTCAGCTATTATATTACTGGAAAAAGTTATTAGATTAAGCTACTAAAGTATTTCATCTTGATTGCTTTATCTTCACTTTAGTTGTGTTGTAAGACGCAGGCACTTTTCCTGATGTCCAACTTGAGAAACATGTCCTAAAACAGAACAAAGTGCAATGTTTATCAGTAGACCGTAGATCAGTGATGGAGACATTTGAACACTGGTTATTATGTGCTCTTGTTTTTCGCGTTGTTTAATTTTTTTCAGTGATTTGCAGTCTAACCGCCCGCTATTTTTGGGACTGCCCCTGCTCGAACCCTCTTGTAATAAGGGTTATTTAATTCCACTCAAGAGATGTCGTACCTTTCATTGTTGGTAGTTTTTCATCATGCTTTTACGGGTTTCACCAGATGAAGATTTTCCAATCCTTGTGCACTATAAAAGTACAATTAAAAAACGAACATAAACGCAGTAAAGATAACACCAAAGTAAACATCTGTTAGCAAAATAAAGCATCTCAATGATAAAAATTACAGGTGCTCGGGCCACACTTAACACCAATTTCGAATTTAACAGTAATTATAGTAATAAGCACATATAAGAAACTCATATTACTGGCTTCCTTTTGCAACAGGGATAAATGAGTTCATTTCTGTCGTTCACCTCCAAGTTCTCTAACCTCTCACTAACAAACGACG